GCATTACGGTCGATAAATGGACAACACCCGATTCGTACCAACACCTTCTACTAAGCACGGCAAGGGAAAAACGCGAGTGTAGCGGCTCGAAATATCAGCAATCTATTCGATGCTAGCACTGCTCACCGACCGACGGTCAACAATCGGCTGGATCGCTTCACTGCAGGAGATACTACCCTTCGGAGTAACGCAAGCATCGTCCCTTAATTCAATGGAGGTCGAGGGAATCCATCCACTATGAGTTGCTAAACGCAGACTACATGGACGCAGCTATCGCTTGTCCCTCTGATGCCCTTTATTTGGCCAACGGGGTTAGAGAAGGACGATCAAACCGTATATCACGTCCCTACAGAGGGACGACGCACGTCGAAAATTCGCTTGAATCCACGTCAAATAATCAAGGATCCCGCTTGGTTCCAGGTTACTCATCAGTCGTACTCCCGGAGTGTTGCCCCTTTCAGCTACCATGTGCTCCGCCTTCTTGGGCATCCCGTTGTGGAAAAAAAATTCGTAACATAATTGGATCTAAAAACGGCAGTCAATTACTTCTTTGAGTCACAGCTCCCTCACTTTTGGAGAGATGGCATCAGAGATTGGCTCAAGGGATGAAAGAAGGTTGTTGACTTTGTCGGTAAAAATTTTTACAAAAATTGATCGATATGAAAAAAGTTAGAAATGAATTAAAAAAGGTCTCCATTTTGTCGCAGGACTTATTTGCCAACCTAATACTTTTTCCATTGAGAACTTTTTCCATTGAGAAAGATCACTTACTTCGAATCTTGTCGCGATCTTTCGAGTTTAAGAACCTTCGCCGTTTTTCTTCTTCTGGGTGTATTCCAGCAGAATGGAGGTTTAGTTTATTTATTTTATTTATTGAATGCACATGAAGTGCGCGCTACAATGTAGAAGTAGAGCCGCAGGTACTATTGTAAGACTTATCCAGAGGAGAAAAAATCAACAAAAGAAAACGCCAAAAGAAAAACAAGTCGAATTGTAAATGCCCAATTTTCTGTCTCCAAACCGTAGAGAAGGAATGAAGTGAAGAGAAAGCAAAGCCAGAAGAATAACATCCTGGGCGCACCGAAATAAAAGTCAAAATCGAAACCTAATTTTCACGTAACTAGGCAATTAAAACAAAGGTTATCAAACGGAGGAAGGACAGAGAGGTAGGACATGTTGATCGGGGGTTAATACTGTATTCCTAGATATTCAAAGAAGGTAGTGGGAAAATAGTCTAAAAATCGCTATAATTCTTTAACACTTTGGAGCCCGCGCAGGTTTCGGCAACTGAAGCCGCGAGGGACCGCGGCGCTCGTTTGAACGCAGCAAGTGCAGCCCATATGTGGGCTGCAAGGTCCCTCGTGGCCGACAAGGTGCAGCCCACATATGGGCTGCACGGTTGTCAAAGTGTTAAACTCATTGGGCCATATTTCATCCCACGAAGTAGAAAAGCGGCTCAATCACGTTTAGGATTAGACTGTACACGACCAAATAACTTAGAGATACAAGACAAACAGTACTGATGGCTGACCGTAACGCACACCTGCACCAGTCGGCTGGGGTGCCCGCTTGCCAATTTCGGGGTGGAACTCATAGGTAGTTCAGAATAGTGCAAAAGTGACGGAGAAAAAGCAAAAAATCGACGTGATAAGAGAAATAAAGCACTTGGACAAAGTAGTAAACTAGGGGGTGGACGCAAATGTGACGACAGAACTTGCACGGAAGGAGTATTTGGACGTCCAAATATGTATGCCATTGCTGACAACTGCCTTCAGCTACGATCGTGCAACATGTGTGTCGCTGTTCGGATGATGCAACCTCTACAGCCTTTAGGACGGCCTTGTCCGGGTTTGGGTTGCACGTCGGCTGATCCGCTTTTGGGGCCCTTCTATCTAGGCCGGTTTTTTGACCACCCCTCCCCCCTTCCCCCCCCCCCCCCTCCCCTTCCCACCCCCGGGTCCCTTGTGCTTTCCTTGGGGGTCACATGAATCTTTGAAACCAGTTCTATCATGAACTGTGGTTTCAACTTATGAGATTTATATCAAGGTTCAAGCCAAAATACCAGTAAATATCAAGGGTCGGAGGTCCTCAATGAATGAACATGAGTGTTGTGTACCGAGACAAGCTCCTGCGAAACGAATCGGATGTTGGTTTCGGATCTCTAGAGAAGGCTCTATTTGAGTCAGAAATTTCACGCTTTACTCGCAATCTTGCCTTTTTGACTTCTTCCTTTTGTTTTTTTGCTATTTTTTTTATTGTTGAAGATCTAATCTGATCCTAGCCTCTTTAGTTTCTCTACACTTAAGTAAAAATATTGTCTAAGATGACTCATGTCAGAGGTGCTCGTGTCTACAGTCGGGTGTTTGATCGTATTCCAACTGATGGTATATGAAATCTACGGCAATGGTACACAACTACTTTAGGCATGAAGACTTTAGCGGAATCAGTAATGCCAAAGTAATGTTCTAGAATAGACTATGACCACAGGACCCTCTTGAAGGCTTTCTTTTACAAAATTGCAGTTTTCAAAGGCAGATTATGTGTTCCATCTAATGGAGGATTAGTAAACGAAACACTACACTATACTGCGTGGTAAGAGGTAATGAGTCAATTGGACTCTTGTATTTGCTTTTGAACAAGCGTTCATTGAGCTGTGCCGCCATCTGATCGGAACACGTAAGCATTCTTTCTATTTTATCCCATGGCATAGTCCAGATCTCCAAAATGAGACTGACAACTTGATATCTCGTTCCTTTCCTTCTGGACTTTGTGGGACCGTATTGTTTCTTCTAGAAACCTATTGGTTGCTTTTGCTAATATGTATTCAATCGCGGTGAACTTGAGGTGAAAAAAAATCGACTTCTTCGGTTTTGTAATGGAAATACGCTTTGATGATTAGCGTGTTATCTTCAGGACGTGGGTCGAGGGATGGCTCTGAATAATGTCGTCATGTCGTATCAGCGGTTTACTTGTTTTACCAAATTGATTTCAAGTTTTCCCTTTTCGTTGCCAGATTTTTGTTGTATGTGAAACAGCCTGGCTCCAAATTCCGATCACTTCAGCTGAGGTCATTTCCAATGCCCTTCCTGATGTCGCTACTTGAGGCAGTTCCCTTAATTGGAGTGCTTTGGTCGGAAGAGATTTTCAAACTCTTTTTCTTTGGCTACTGTTCATTTTGCCCACATTTCTTGCTTACACCAAATAACTAAAACCCTTCGAATCAGGTTTAGTAGGTAAATTTATAATAACTACAGTATCCAGTACTCTTGTTTCTATCACTTGCGATACACTATTCCACATAAAAGCTTAATTTGATGTGTAGTTTTTCAGGCTTGCCAAGTTGAACAAGGAAACAGAGAGGACACTTTTCAACAGTGCGAATTGGAGGAGATGGGGGCGAAGGCGTCTACGAGAAGAAGGAAGCAGAAGAAGCAGAGCAGAGACGAACCACAGCAAAGCCCGCTGGACCATAGATGGGGTGATCCTGAAGCTACAACTAGCGTAGAAGGAAGGAAGGACAAGCATTTGGCTGCTAATGAACTTGAAGTCTCAATGCCTCAAACAAATGCGGGACAAAGAAGAGAATTGAGATCTAGCGAAAAGGCGGAGGATGTCGGTGATGGTGAGACAGACAGTAAGAATGTTGTGAACTTAATAAAACATGGCCCGTCGTCGCCGGATACAACTGGCAAAAAGAAAAAGAACGTCCCCAAAGCGTTACTGATACCGAGTCAGATAAGCTCCCGCTTTGGTGATCCAAGTATCCTTCATTCTGAGGCGAGCGTGACAAAAAGCATAAAAGCTCCAGACAAGTCTGCCGAAGTTACTTCACCAATCAAACGACCGCAATCGGCGAACATCTCAATGAAAATCCACAGCACTACACGCAGTCGCTCAGCCAGTGGGGCTCGTTCTGAAGGAGAGTTTACTTTTGATCTGCGATCCAGTACCACTAAAAAGGATGTGGGAAGGAATGAAGCCTCTGCTAAACTGAAGCTCCAACCTGAAAGCAAGGGTCAAACTGGCTTGCCTCCTAAAGATGTCAAAAAAACAGTAAAGAAAGAAGGAAAAGGAGAAAAGCCAAAAGCTGCTTCGGAAATAAATAACGTTGAAGCCATTCCATCGGAGGTACTAGAGCGGGTGGCTACAAAGGAGGATATTAGCTCACATCAAGACCAGAAGGACAAAGAAAATGAGGTACAACAAAGTGGAAAGGAGAAGAATGCTGTGGCGAAACATGGAAATCGGCTGAAATGTTTCGAGGAAAATTCTGCGAGTCCGCTTGACAACGACAGCCAAAACGCTCAAATGAGACAGGAATCTGCAGAGCCTCTTAAAAGTAAAAGCCGGATCGTGGCAGATGGTAGCTCAATTACTAGTACTTCAAAAGCGCTACCGGAGGATTCATCCAATAATAAAGCAGGAGCGGTTAAGGCTGTGGAGGAAGATGGTAGACATTCTCAGGAAAAGAGTAAGGAATCAGAATTGCTCAACGGTTTGGGTAAGACGAAATCTCTAATTAAAAAGAAAAGAGTTGCAGACAAGTCATCTTCAGAAAAGACGAAGGCAGCACTTCTTGAACACCATTCCGATCACTCAGAACAGGATGGAAAGGTCTTTAACGTAGATAGCCAAGAGAATGGAGCGTTGCTAGCGTTCCCCCATGCAGATGAGAGCAGCTTCGAAAAGAGCGAAAGTTCCGTAATGCAGAAGGAAGAGAAAAGCCAAAAGGATAATGAAGAGGTGCCGAAGAACGAATTCCGAGAAAAGTCGAAAGTCAAGGAGGGAGCTGCTGATGATGAAATGACGACGTTAGTTACCAGTACGGAGCCGTTAGTTCAAGAACTGCCAGAACGAAATTCGTTCAAGAAAGTCAAACAGGCGGAAAAGGTTTCGTCGGAGAAATCACTAACTGGAGAAAGTGGCCGTGAAGAAGAGACTCATCTACGTAAAAGTGCTGCCAAAAAGCGGCCGAAAACGCAGGAAACGAGTCCCTCTTCATTATCCAACAACAGTGACGCTAAAGATATTGCCATGAGCAGCGAACCTACCAATATTCCAAAACCTTTCGAGAGGGAAACTTTCGGTAAGGAAGAAAAGCCTGATGGAATGACGAATTCACTCACGATCAAGGAAATCGATTCCAATGATGCGGGACATGATGTCACGGCAGCAGGAGCACTCGCAACGATAACAAAACCGTTGGAGTGTGAAACTATCGGTAATGAGAAAAAACCCGTTGTCCTCACCGTTGGACTTAGCGGTCCAGCGAAAGATGTCATATGGACCAAGAATGGCGATGTTATCACTGCCTCAGAAAAATTTGAAATATCATTCGACGGGATGTCCTGTTCCCTCACGATCAAGGACAGCGATTCCAATGATACGGGACGGTACATGGTCCGGGTTGACGAGTCCCAATCCTCCACCGATCTGAAAATTTCCGGAAAACCAAAGTTCAAACCGTGCTTGGAGGAAGTACTAGAGGTCGAAAAGAGTGAAGACATCATGCTCAAAGCAGAGTTTGACGGCGAGGGTGAAGTAATCGCGACTTGTTTTTTCAACGGATCTCCTATACGAGAGGATTCGAAGACTCAGCTTTTTGTTCATGAAAATTCAGTGAAGTTTTCAAAGAAGCATCCGACAAAGGCTGATTCTGGAGTGTACACAGTGAAGCTGTCAGGCGAATTCGGTGAAGTCACAAAAGCCTTCACTGTCAAAGTTAAAGGTACGCTCAGATTTTACTTGAGAAAAGGCACGCTATTACAGGCAGTTTTTGTTTTAGATGTACCTGGACCACCTGCCAGAATATCCGTTGACAAAATTGGAGGTGATACGATTT